TTCTAGCGAGTTTCTGTGGGAGCCAAAACATGATCCGAGCAAAAAAGTAGTACTCGTAATAATGGTATATAATTCTGAATTTTATCGTGTTTTGTTTCGAAAATATCTTCCAAATAAACAAACATCATCCAGATCACCCGATTCGTCCACTGACTAAATCTATTGCCACATAAAAATTAATTTCAGTCGGTGTATTAATCAGCAGATTAAATCGTTTTTCGTCTGGTGCTACACCGAGCAATCGGCCTATTCAATAGTTTTTCGTCGATGGATTTAGTCGGCCAACTTTGTCTGCTGTTTAATCGGCAGATGATTTCAAACCTTAACATGTTTTCTGTAATTGAACTGTCTTGAAGTAGCCTTTTATTTAGGAACAATGCATTACAAAATAATTTTATGCATTTTGTACAAGGTTCATCCATGCTGAAAAGAAATTTGCATGAAATTACATTGAAATTAAACAATTTTGCAAACAATCAATGAAATTGTCAAGGGCTGTCACAGACTTATCACCGTCGGTTAGTGCTCATTCCTGCCACCAGGCGCGCAGGAGTTTAAGTTGGATTTCTCAATTGACAAATCCAAGTTTCAATCGGCCACCGTGGCACTGCAATCGCAGCGGTGATAAGTCCGAAATAATGTGTCAAACTAAATACGTTTTTGAAATTTCAACCAAAAAACTATTATTTTGTATTTATTCTAGCGAGTTTCTGTGGGAGCCAAAACATGATCCGAGCAAAAAAGTAGTACTCGTAATAATGGTATATAATTCTGAATTTTATCGTGTTTTGTTTCGAAAATATCTTCCAAATAAACAAACATCATCCAGATCACCCGATTCGTCCACTGACTAAATCTATTGCCACTTAAAAATTAATTTCAGTCGGTGTATTAATCAGCAGATTAAATCGTTTTTCGTCTGGTGCTACACCGAGCAATCGGCCTATTCAATAGTTTTTCGTCGATGGATTTAGTCGGCCAACTTTGTCTGCTGTTTAATCGGCAGATGATTTCAAACCTTAACATGTTTTCTGTAATTGAACTGTCTTGAAGTAGCCTTTTATTTAGGAACAATGCATTACAAAATAATTTTATGCATTTTGTACAAGTTTCATCCATGCTGAAAAGAAATTTGCATGAAATTACATTGAAATTAAACAATTTTGCAAACAATCAATGAAATTGTCAAGGGCTGTCACAGACTTATCACCGTCGGTTAGTGCTCATTCCTGCCACCAGGCGCGCAGGAGTTTAAGTTGGATTTCTCAATTATGTTAAATTTTTATAAGCATGTTTCTGCTTCTGCACACGATCGACCGAGCCCGGTCTTTTTCAAGTAATTTATGAATCCTTTTTATGGCCCTTATGTTTGGCCACATAACATATGTGGAACTCGATCATCAATAATCAGCCCAGTGGCAGGCACGTAAGCAACATGTTATACCGTGACAGCGGGCCCAGCACAGCAAAATAAACGATTTGAGCCCGGAACATGCTGCCTACTGTCAAACGCTGCTGTTGGTATAGGCCTTATCACTGGCCTGTCAAAAATCGACCTTATTTCAGGCTGAACATTGCATTAGGTCCTAAGTAACATAGACAGATTATCTTCGTCGAGGTCCTAAGTAACATAGACAGATTATCTTTCTCGAGATTATCTGGTCGGAGGTTATGGTCCATGGATGGTTTTGTATTGTCGGTCAACTTTACGTGGAATATATCGCAAATTGGTAATCATTAATTTACAGGCAACCTATTCGCGATATATTCCACGTAAAGTTGACCGACAATACAAAACCATCCATGGACCTTTCTGACTACCATAACCATTACCATTAAAATTCTCAAACCATAAGTAAAAAGGTTCTAATATAGTTCTCTTTCAGAAAATGTATGGAGAAAACAAGAATTTTGAATGGTAATGGTTCTTAACAACCCATTATTTGTAAGGTTCACTTCCAAAAAACCATAATACATAAGGTTAAAACTTTATCACACAAACGTTCATGTAAAGTTCCATAACCATTGCAGTTAAAGTTTAGCAAGGATTATAAACAATTTGTAACCATTTTCGGTAAGGTCAAGGTATGGTTCGCGTTTATGCGGGATGTGCTACCAAAATTCAAAAATTTCCGTGGTTGTTGGTTGTTGCACATCTAAACATTTCATTTTCACACTGCCCAAAAGATGTTTTCTTTGGTGCCCCATTTTGAGCGTTTGGAAATTATTATTACATCCATTTACCCAGAATCCGGGTAGCCTTTACTCATCAAGGCCTGTATAGAGATCGAAGCGAAGCGAAAATCTCATACAAAATACTAAATTTTTCAGCAGCGTGAAAACACAATTGGAAAATTTTTCACTTCGCTTTGAACTGTAAACAGAAACGATCCAGCGAAATCTAATGTTGTGGATCGCATCTTTTTCGCGCATGCATCGTTCGCGAAAAGTTGACGTTTCGGGAGAGCGTATCTGTCAGATTTTCACTTCACCGGAGGTGTAAACTAATCGATTTCGTTTCACATGAACTGTAAACTGCAAAAAAAGGAAACTGGAAAATGTTCCACACACATTTTTTCACAACCTTTTTCGCTAGCGAAATTTCATAATTTTTCGCGTGCTTCAAATTTTGTTTCGCTTCGATCTGCATACTACACGCTATTTTGAGGCTACTCAGTGACTGGGTGGATCGCACTCATTTTTGCATGCTGTATGGAGTTGTCAAAAAATGAGTAAACTGGTTTTTCTCTGATGAGTGAGATCTACCCAGATTCTGGGTAAATGGTCCTGATATAAATCATTTCGGTTAGTAGTGCCGGCAAGAAACGAAGACGAGGCAAGGGGTCCGGACGTATTACTCCCAAGGATATGAACATGGTAAGACCAACATTGTATGGCCAGGATTGTCAGCGCCGATTATTCGAGGCCGCGAGCTTGTCCAACAGCAGCAGCTTCCGGAAGATAAGGAGCGGGAAGCCTAGCTCAAGAAGATTCGCGATGAGATGGTGAACTTCAAACGGATGAAGCTCAGTCCCCTTGAGCGAGGTTGGCCTGGATATAAAATGCCTAGCCGTAGTATAAGACCGCCGTATGCAGTTGAAGAGGACCAAGGATTCGACACCAAATTTAATTTTCTTCCCGGACGAAAAAATGTATATGCAAAGGATTCATTAGGGCGTTTATTCGTTTATATTGAAATGGGTAAGGTTTACTCATTTGACAAATGTCATCATCTGAGTAACCGTTACCCAGTTTCATCCATTAGCACGTTTACTCTAATGCGTTTATTAACGCATAATTTTAACATCAATGCTTATGAGTGGTCAGTCTTCATTCTTATCTTTTAATTCCATGCAATAAACATCAAATAAATGCAGTAATTAGCCAGAAATCAGCAAAATTCTACACGACATAAATTTATGTCGCGTGCGCCGCCGGTCTTGTCTGCTTCTTTGTGCGAAAATGTTCTGTCGCTGGCAGAAAACAGTTTAGAACGCTTGCCAGTTTGTTTTTGTGTGTCGTCACAATGGTTATCGCAAAAAGTATCAAATGTTTAGGAAAAAATGTTAAACTCCAGGACTCGTGCCACCACTGATTAAGATAACTAATAAATAATAAACAGGGAGCCACCGTGTGGTGGGGCAAGCAAATTTTTCCTGAAACTTGTTGGATCACGGAACAAAACTTGCGTTGCTTTGTATTCCATCATGGTGGAATATGCTGACCACTAGAATACTGAAGGAGATTGGAAAAACAACTATTATTCTATTATTAGCATAATATTAAATCCGGAGAACTTTGAGATTACCTCTCACCCCAGCAGGCCTGGGTTCAATACCAGTCGGCGTCGCCGGGATGTTCTGAGGCATAACATCTTTGATCATGCCTTCCTTCGGAAGAGAAGTAAAGCCGTTGGTCCCCGGTTCATGAGTTGATGGGTCGATAAGTAGGGTCCAGGTGTGGGAGCTGCCTTCCTGGCGTCGGTAGCATTGGTGCTCAGCACGGAAAACAAGATCGACGGAAAACAAATCAAGGAAAAAACTTTGAGATTAGGGCGTTATTGCTTTTGTAAACAAACACGCAATCACCGATTTCTCATGAATAAAAGAACAATCTCACGAACAAAGTATACCAAATGATAGAGGAACCATTCCTCTACCTGTTTGTGTTGTTATTTTTTAGATTGAGCATTAATTCGCGAGAAACCGACAACTGACATGTTTGTTTACAAAAGCAATTATGCCATAATCTCGAAGTTCTCCGGAAATATCAAATAGCGAAATTTTCACTCCCAATCACATTCCTTCGGCCAACAATAAATAACTTGAACGATCACAAGTGCCATCGCGTTAGGTTTGACTTGTGATTGGAAGAATTATCCGCCGTTACACGGACTTTGTATAATTTTTAAGGAAAACTTTAATACGGTCGAGGGTTGATGCATATATTATGTCACGATCTAAGGGGGGGGGGGGGGGGGTCTAAGATTTTGTGACAAGCAATGCATTAGGTATAGGAAAAACGTGACGATACCCCCCATCGTAAAGGGGGTAATTTTTTCCTCGATTTAGCGTGACATAATTAATGCATTACAATATATGCATAACCATAAAATGTAAAAACAGGCATAACCATAAAATGATATAATGTTAATCAATCTTAGTATTGTAATATTTTTAAGTGTAGGGGAAACAGTCCTATTGTTGCGATATGTTAGAAGCGTTAGGAGCCTATTGTTGTGTATGGAGACCTCCATAAACAACAATAGGCTTCAAACGCTTCTAACGTACCGCAACAATAGGACAGTTTCCCCTATTGCCATTCAGTATTTTTCTTAGGATTGTTCCCTCAGTGCAAGTGGCGTTAAGCAGTTGGGTGGGCATAACACCGGTCCAAACCCACCAAACCCACCGACACGCACACCAGCGACCATTTGACAGTTGGCTTTGACAGCTAGCGTACACGTATTTTGACTCGCTTGCGGTGTTGGATTCACATTTTCCTTTCATTTCGTTTCTCGGTATATTTCGTGTTGGACGTGTGCGGTCGTCAGAGAAATTGGTGAAATTCTGTGAATTTTACTGTTCAATTATTCGTTAAACTAGCGTTACATATCGCGTAAGTAGCAGTACTAGTGGGATTCGTATAAATAATAGATAATTTTCACCAGTTTTATTGAGATTTCGCATAGTTTCACAATCCACGTCGCTAACTTTTTCCTTTCATTCCAATGCAGACAATAAGAAAACGATGAGGAACTTTGTGTATGCCGTCGTGTTGGGTCTGTTTGCCCTGAGCCACCTGGGTGTTGCTAACGAGGACAGCTCCGCCCGGTTGTTGGTGTCAAAGCAGATTTTGAACAAATACCTCGTAGAGAACCGAGACATTGTTGTCAAGTACACACTGTACAACGTTGGATCCGGAGCTGCCGTTAATGTACAGTTAGGTAAGTGTTTTAGCGGATGTTTAAGCGAGCATCGCTATTAGAAATTTACTAACAAACTTTTCTTAAAAACAGTTGACAACGGTTTCCATCCCGAGGCATTCACCGTCGTTGGAGGTCAGCTGACGGCTACCATCGATCGCATTGCCCCACAGACCAACGTCACCCATATCGCTGTGGTGCGACCAAAGGCCTACGGTTACTTCAACTTCACCGCAGCCGAGGTCAACTACCAGCCCGCGGAGGAAGTCACCGAACTGCAGTTCGCCGTCAGCTCCGAGCCCGGTGAGGGTGCCATCGTTGCCGAGGCTCAGTTCAACAAGCAATTCTCTTCGCATTACCTGGACTGGTTTGCGTTCGCCATCATGACCCTGCCATCGTTGGCCGTCCCCTACGGACTGTGGTTCAGTTCCAAGTCGAAGTACGAACTGTTGTCCAAACCAACGAAGAAAGTTAACTAAGAGCTAAGGGTTTAGAATAGGTCGACAACCTTTTCCATGTTTGAGAGGAATGTGTGAATGCGAGGCAGATTTTTACTGCTTCGAGTTTCCTCCGAGTGGTATGGGTGGATATTCTGTTTTTGGAAAGACTAATTTATTACACATAAGAACGCTTTTTCTGTTCCACAATTCTCATCACTCTTAAGCCACCCAGTTTTTTTTTGGTTGTTGTTGCCGTTTTATAAGTTCGAACAAGAGTAGAAAGAATCGAGTTAGGGAAGAGGAAGGTGTTGCATTTTTTTGTACTCTGGCAGCAACATAAAGCAATGCAGGAATCAGGCTTTAGTTTGTTACATCGAGTCGTACCATCAAATAAAAAAAGAGATTGAAAACTGAACTTATTTTTGTTTTTATTTTATCAGAATATTGTATTGCTCGAAATTACCGAAGGATTTGAGTTTTTACGGATTTCACAAACAAAATATGTGAAAGATCCATATTAATCGAAGCAGGGAATAGGGGTGTCAAATTTATCACTACTGGGACAGTTTCCTATAACGACTTAGTTATTTGTAAAATAATGTAAGGTGAAATAAAAATTTAATTTTGTTTTAAAGTTCAATATTTGAATTTAAAGAAGACAACATGAAAGCTAGCTTTCGTAGCTATGGACACGAATATTAACTACCCACCCCCTATGTTGAATGATAGAAACTGATTTCCTTATTTTTCACACATATTCTTGTTTTCGTTCGAACCGTATTTTCCATACAAAAAACTTTTTGTTTTGTATGGAAAATACGGTTCGAACGAAAACAAGAATACGGGTGATTATTAACGACTTCGATAGTATTTTTTAGCGATCTTCGGTCAAATTTAGGCAATTCTTGCGTCACTTTTGAAATATAGGGGAAATGTCTCTAATGTTGGCCTATGGATCTAAGATTGATACGGTACTAATGGATATTTTTGGTCGCTATTGAAAATTCTGTCGCTTGCTGAATCTATGTAAGGGCCCAAATTAGGGACATTTACCAATCTACATTGTTCGATTCTCTTCATCGACGATCTCTTTCGATAATAACTTGGCTGCAATCATATTTTGGGCTAATTTGTCTACACAGCATGTAAAAAAAAAATATTATTAAGCGTATTGGAGCATAAGAACAAATGAACATGTTTTTGGAGACGACTTTCAAACTAGAGAGAGAGAGTCGATGAAGAGAAGTGATCAATGTAGATTGGTCTATAAAAGTGACGCGAGAATTCATTTTATTAGTTTGAAAGCTCCCAAACAAAAAGAAAACTCCACCGCAATGACAAGAAAATTTTGATAATTTAAATGTGAAACGGAAAGTTCAGCTGTTGAATGAAATTATCGCCGTCGGTAAATAATAATTTCTAAATGAGCATACACAATCAAATCCATACATGATTAATTCATTCGATTATCTTATAGCGAATTTGTTTTTGATTCAGTTCCAACCTGGATTGGGTGTCAAGATTGGGTCTGTATGGTTTTCTGACAAACATTAGATTTTAAAACCTTCTTCAGGTTGAGGTTTGTACTGACTAAAAGTTCAGTTTCGCACTGTTTCCAACCCGAATGATTAAAAACATTGCTATTAGGTATACCAAACTCGTTCACCAAGTAAGATAACCAATCATTGTGTATTGTAAATCTATTCTGGTCGTCAGAGAAAACCAGTTTTCACGATTCCTGCTTCTACTTTAAGGGAGTGTGATGTAATGTGGATTCAAGCAGTTCTGAATTTCATACAATAATTTTATTTCAATTGTTGCATCGATAATCTAAATCTAATTAATTACATTTCTTAATCTACAGTGTGCCACTGCAAAGTTCTACACTGAAAGTAGTCATCACATTTCCGAAAGCCAGCGGAACCGGCAACCCTACGGAGGTTGCTCGGTTTCCGCTGGCCCGTCGCCGGACAAAGCTGTGGCTAGTAGTAGGGCCTCGTATGGGAATGGTCCAGCCATTCTGCAATAGGTTGGGTCTGAAATGTAAATTTGATGTATGTTCGGTAAATCAAAACACTATTTGAGGCTTACCTTTGATGATAATAAATTTGAATAAGCTGTTTAAAGGTTTGCTTAATTCCGCAGCATCAATTGCTTTTCAGGTTTCGAAATACAACACATACAGAAAGCACTGCGGCAAGATGGCTACCTAATTCATATTCGGCCTTGTTTGAGTTCGCGACAACAGGAAAGGCTTTTCGATTTGGGTAGCAAACGAATAACGAAACAAATTTCTACCTATGTGTAATTGTATATGAATAGGTATACATTTCGGCGCAATTCAAGAAATTTCATATATGCCGAGTATAATGCCTTGTTCAGACTACAGAGTTGTAAAGTGCGAACATTGCGGCGTACCCCACACTGGGGGCAAATTGATCACTGCCCAGCAATTATTTCAGAGTCATAAATAAGCATATAGGGTTTTTGATCTAATTTCCATCCTACTAAGCACAACCCGCACTTTACCTCTATTTTCTGAACGAGTTTAAACAAAAAATGGAATATTTCTTTCAAAGATGGCTTCTAAATTCATTCACCTTTCCATACGTACCGTTGGATTTGATAAAGAGTCACACATTTTTTGAGATATTGTTTAAAATCTAACACTGCTTCTTGATTCTAAATTCGTTCTACGAGTTTGAATTTCGTCCTAACGCATTGAAACGCCATTAGATATTTTTTCGTCCTACGGATAAACGTAGAAAAAGAGGATTCGCTAGGAGCGTTTCTTTTGTTTTGAGAACAATGAGCGTAAATATTCATATAATGCGCTTTAACTGGATTTATGTTGTAGCTAATGAACTTACGCATCAGAACAAACCTATTATTGATTTATGCATGGTGAAATCATTGATATTATTGATCTTTTCTGATCGATAGAACGGAAATGGGCGATTACGACGAAGTAGTGCCAACAATCAATACGAAACTAACGATTTTAAATTGGCTCACCACTTTAGTAGCCTATTGGTCCCAAGCAAACGATTAACGTACCCTATTCTAGTTGAAATTCTATTACTACACTATGTTTGTTTTGATTCGCTATGAAAGTTTGACAGATAACATCAGGGGTGTGTGGATTCATGCAGAACATGCAGGGGTGAGTGAAATAGCTTGGGACTGCTTGGGACCGTTGTTCTGGTACTGAGTGAGCCAAAAATAATAATGATTTTCTTCGGGACCCAGTGGTCTTAGAGTTACCTCTATGGTAGTGCTCTACCCTATTGAATAAATACTGTATAAAAGTCGAGATAACAGTGCACAATCAACAATCAATACGAAACTAACGATTTTAAATTGGTTCACTACTTGACTAGCCTATTGATCCCAAGCAAATCGATTAACGTACCCCATTCTAGTCAAAGTTCTAGTACTACACAATGTTTGTTTGGATTTGCTATGAAAGTTACCTCTATGGTACAAGCATAGAGGTAACTCTAAGATCAGAAGGTCCCGAAGAAACGAGCTCAACTTTTTGGCTCAGCTCTGGTACTATCTTCGGTCCCAAGCTAATCGATTCACCCCTCGAAACTTAGGAAAATCCACTAACCCCTCATTTTATCTGTCAAACTTTCATAGCGAATCAAAACAAACATAGTGTAGTACTGAAATTTATACTAGAATGGGGTCCGTTAATCGATTTGCTTGGGACCAATAGGCTAGTCAAGTAGTGAGCCAATTTGAAATCGTTAGTTTTGTATTGATTGTTGGTACAAGGCTGAATAAAACGGGGCGTAGAATTACGTTCTAAAAAAAACCCATTGAGATCGATAGATGGTCCTTTATTTCTTTATTGCGCTGTTTGTTCTGATCTGATTAATTTACTTATTAAAAGCTTTATAAACGTTCACTGCATTCCCTGAAGTTTGATCTAATAAAAAACTGTATAAGTGTAATTTACACATACATCGAAGTCGGTAAAATTTTACTGGGTTTTTAAACAGCTGAGTTTTCAGTAATCAACCCAGCAGTTTTTGCTTATGCTGAAAACTCCGTAAATCGCAGAATCTCTGAACTGTCAAAAATTACCGTGTTAGTCAGTACTAGCATAGAGGTAACTCTAAGACTAGAAGGTCTCGATATAACGTGCTCAACTTTTTGGCTCAGCTCTGGTACTCTCTTCGGTCCCAAGCTAATCGATTCACCCCTCGAAACATAGGAAAAACCAATAACCCCTCATTTTATCTGTCAATCTTTCATAGCGATCAAAACAAACAGTGCGTAGCACTAGAATTTCGACTAGAATAGGGTACGTTAATCGTTTGCTTAGGACCAATATGCTAGTCAAGTAGTGATCCAATTTAAAATCGTTAGTTTCGTATTGATTGTTGCTAGTATTGCTGTCTTATTCAGTAATTTATTTGTTTACGTAGTTTTTTGCTGATTTTTTCAGCATTTTTATTTTATTTTTTTAATGAATAAGTCAGTAAATTCATCAACAATGTTCTTATTTCATTATTTGTTTAAGTTCATTCGATTAAAACATTTCGAATTTATAGCGATTTGTATTTGGGGACGGAGTTTAGTGTCAGATTAGCAGTAATGATGTTTTAACTAGTCCAGGTTGAGCGGTCAGAGTTTACCGGTGGTTTAGCCGGATGGTGGCTCTTTCGATGTGCCGGATTGGATGCCTAAGTCTGAAGCTCTATAACAGGAAATTTTAGTGAAATTTCTTTCTTCAAACTAACTTTAACATCTGAAAGTCAATGCAGGAGTGGAGAAACTGATAAATTTCGGGGTAGTTTATGCAATCCTGTGTTGACTTCCAGATGTTTCACTGATTTTCACAATGGTTTCTTGTTTTCACGAGAAGATATCCGACGTCAAGTGTGAGGTTGAATCGAGGAGGATGACATAAGAAATTTGCTTTACTGTCAGCATCAGCAATGTTGGAATTTCGTTTGATGACTGCTCCAGTAAAACATAACGAATACAAAAAACTCGGTACTCTATTTTACTGAGTTTTAGTCATTATCCGCAAAGCTGTTATTTTACGATGAGCTCAGTACTTACTCTTACCGTATTCAGTAGTTTGTCGCAAGAGCTACTGATCGTCAGTTGTTTTATTGAGAATAACTGTATATTCGGTAATTTTTGTGATTTACAGTTCGAAAACTGTAAAAAAATTACCGAACAGGGAAGCCGTGATTAAGTGTGTACAGAACTTTGAAGTACGCATCTTTTTGGAGACCTCCTTCGCTGAAGGCAATGTTACACGTTGGCAATGTTACACGTTGTGTTTATACTGATGCACTTCTATGAGCTGATTTCGATCGCTTAGAGAAAAGGAACAACGATTACAATTTTTGTTCGGATAGTACCAACTTTTTGCGTCGATGTCCGATAGATAAC